AGTTCATAGTTATGATGAGCAAGAGTGTCTCTTCCAAAATTGTGAATTTTATGGCCCCAGGGTCAGGGGTTCTGGTGTTTAAGGGCGGGGTTCTACTGATTATACAGTGAAAATGCATTTATTTTTTCAAAACTTTATTCTCTCCTCCTAGGTATTAAATAAACTAACTAAGAACATAGTTATGATGAACAAGAGTGCATATTCCACAACTGTGAATTTTATGGCCCTAGGGTCAGGGGTTCTGATATTAGGGCGGGGCTCTATTGATTATATGGTGAAAAAAAACATTTAACCTTTGAAAATCTTCTTCTCTGATCCTGTGTATTAAATAAACTAACTAAGAAAATAGTTATGATGAGCAAGAGTGCTTCTTAGAAAATTGTGAGTTTCATGGCCCCATGATCAGGGGTTCTGATGTTAGGGCAAGGCTCTATTGATTATATTGTATGCATTAATTCTTTCAAAATCTTCTTCTCTGCTCCTCGGTATTAAATAAATTAACTTAGTATAAAGTTATTATGCCTCAACCAAATTTGTGAATTCCATGGTCCCTGTATCAGGGGTTTTGCCATTTGGTGTAAGGGGGGCTCTTTTGATTATATAGTGAAAATACATTAATTCTTTGACAATCTTTTCCTTTGTTCCTGGGTGTTATGCTCATGATCCAAGTATATTTATTTATGATGAAGAAAGGTGCATCTAGTAGAATGGTTAATTTCATACCCCTGGGTCAGGAAGGGGGGAAGGTTACATAGTCTGAAAATAAATTAATGCTTTGAAATCTGCTCCTTGGTATTAATCAACCATTTATTTTTTTTTAATTCTTTATTTATTTTACACAATCTGTTTCACAATTCATAATACAAAATTTATTTATATTACAGAGATTGGTTTTGAGAGAGAGAGAGAGGGGGGGGGATGAGAGAGAGTTAGCATGTTTTAAAATTACATAAATAAGAGTTTTTTTTTATTTTATAACAATTTATGAAAACATTTGATTCCACAGATTCCAGTTGGTGTCAAACATCTCTCTGTCACCATTCTTACATGCTAAATATTTTTGAGTTTCATAAAAAAGTTTAATATGTGAAGTCGCAAGTCTGACATCTAATTTTTTTTCTAAACATCTCATTGTATGTATATATAATATTTTATCCATAGAGCCAGCAAGTTATGAATATCTTTGTTTTTGACTGGAAATCCCAAAATAAAACTTTGCTTTGTAAATGAAAGTTGCAACCCTGTCCTTTGTTCACAATGTCTTTCAAAACTGTTGAGGAAGGTCTGTACATTGTCACACTCCCATAAAATATGTATTATTGTTTCTTCTTCCATATTACAGAAAGAACATAAGTTATCATCTTCTTTCCTTATTTAACATAGATATGAGTTTGTACCTAGTATTTTGTTTAAAATTCTGTATTGAAACCATTGAAGTTTACTAATTTTTGTAATTTTAAATGGAAGATTAAAAATCCTTTTCCATTCACTTTCCCCTAAATAAAACTAGAAATATGTCCATAGGACATGAATGCCCCGCCGAGGATATACATATTGTATTAGTAAGGCAACATGAAAATTTGTATGTGTATAAAATTTGATCAGTTTGGTTCAGGTAGGGCTTATAGTTACTAGAGAATAAAAATGTAGGTCAGATCCAGCATCCGAAGCAAATCTGGTAGTGTCCATCCCTAGATGCATCATCCATGCAAGTTTGGCTCAGGTAGGAGTTATAGTTACTTGGGACTAAGATATAGGTCAGATCCAGCATCCGAAGCAAGTCTGGTAGTGTCCATCCCTAGATGCATCATCCATGCAAGTTTGTTTGAAGCAGGGCTTATAGTTACTTGGGAATGAAAATATAGGCCAGATCCAGCATCCGGAGCAAGTCTGGTAGTGTCCATCCCTAGATGCAAGATCCATGCAACTTTGGTTCACGTAGGGCTTATAGTTACTAGGGAATAAAAATGTAGGTAAGATCCAGCATCCAAAAAGCAAGTCTGGTGGTGTCCATCTCTAGATGCATCATCCGTGCAAGTTTGGTCCATGTAGGGCTTATAGTTCCTTAGGAATGGACCTGCTCCAAAAACTTTAACCTGGTCACTCATTTGGAAAATGTAGGTCAGATCCAGCATCCGAAGCAAGTCTGGTAGTGTCCATCCCTAGATGCATCATCCGTGCAAGTTTGTATCAACATGTGAAGTTTGATAACACCATCTTGAATGGTATGTTTAAAACTGAGCTAAACACTAATTTAAGAAAAGTGAGGTCAAGGTCAAAAAATGTTGATGCAGTTGCATAGCTCTCATCAATATCTATCAGCATATGAAGTTGATGAAAATATCTTGGATACTTTCTTTGAAACTTAGCATTGAACAGAGCTAAACGCAAAGTGTGACGGAAGGACGGAAGACAGACATGACAAACGCTATATGCCCCGGCTATATTCATGACGGGGCATAAAAATATCATTCCGTCTTGTTTTCTCAGTGTTTTCAATATCATTTACATTAATTATTTCATAAAACTGTTTTGCTTTTTTACACTTTGAAAGAATATGAGTATTGGACAAAATTAATCGGTTAGGTAATTTTGCAATTATATCATTAGTGTCTTTTGCTTTCATCCATGCCTTTACACATGTATTATACCTGCACATTCTAAAAAATTAAGCCTTACATTTGGATATATGCTACAAAATTCCTCAAAACTATAACAGGAACCATTTTCGTCCATAAGATCATTAATAACTCTATTATTCAGGTCATACATATTTTTGTTATAAATGACTTTCCCACCACTGACAATTTTTGGATTATAAAAAAATGGCATGTCTCCTGCAACCTTACATACATTGTAGTGCTTATTATTTAATTCAATCCATGCCTCAAAGACATCATTCCAAAACTTGTTTTTAAGGTTCTTCATGATATTTTTAATATATTTAATGCCGCACGTTAATTTTTGTAAACCTTTATCTGACAGAATAAGCTGTCTCATCCAAAATAAATGTAGTAATGCATTGAAAGCTCTAAGATTTATCATATTTACTCCGCCTTCTTCATATTTATTTTACTAAGACATCTTTCTTCACTCTGTGTTGTGGACCGTTCCATACAAATGAGAAAAATAATTTTTCCAATTCCTTCAAAAGGTTTTCTCAGACTGGTGGATTAGGAATAGCCATTAGTATATGGTTAAGCAGCGGTAAAAGAGTTTTAAAAACAGTTATCTTTCCAATAGGTGTCAAATATCTCTTACTTCACTGACTAATTATATCTTTTATTTGTCTTAATTTTGGTTCATAATTGAGTCTTACAACTTCATTCAAATCAACATCAAAATGAATTCCAAGTAAGGTAAATCTTGCATATCCCCACTTAAGATTATACTCATGACTTAGTATTTCTTGACTAAATCTTTTGGAACCAGTCCAAACTGCATGAGATTTTGAACAGTTGATATATAAACCAGACATTTCGGAAAATTTCTTTAATGTTTTCATCACTTCTGTCAATGATTCTTTGCTACCGTCTAAAAAGATTGAGTACGTGTCTTCTGCTAATTGGGATATTTTATTTTCCATGTTTTTAACAGTGAATCCCTTGATTTTTTTTGTTTTGATTTTTTTCCTGTGCACACAAGATAAAGATATAGGGTGATAGAGGATCCCCTTGTCTACATCCTCTCTGTATATTAAATCTTTGTGAAAAATTACCACTTTGATGAATTGTGGAACTTATATTAGTATAAAACAGTTTCATCCATTTTTGTATTAAGGGGCCAAAATTAAAAAAAAAATGCAAGGAATTCTGGGTAAAATTCCATGGAATAGTGTCAAAAGCTTTCTCGAAGTCAATCAAAAGTAACAAGCCTGTATATTGTATATTTTCTTCTACTGTGTACTGCATTATATCATAAATCAAACGTGTATTTTCTCCTATGTACCTATTTGAAATAAATCCCGTTTGATCACTATTTATCAATTTGACAAGTTTATTTTTTATTCTGTTAGCAATAGTACCTAATGCAATTTTGTATACAGTATCTAGGAGTATTATTGGCCGCCAGTTTTTGAGAAATTGTCTTGACTTATCCCCCTTTGGTAAAAGTGTTATTATACCATGTCTCTGTGTAATAGACATAAGGTTATTCTCATATGCATCATCAACCATTTATGTTGAAATATAATTTATGATAAAATTTCCAAAATTTTGAAATATGTGGCTCCAGGGTCAGTGGTTCCTTTGGGGTAGGGTGCACAACTGGTTACAAAGTGGAAGTGCATTTTTTCTTTTTTTAATCTGATCTACCTCTGGGTATTACGTAAATAGAGTAAGCATGCTAAGTTTATAATTATGATAAGCAATGGTGCCTCTTTCAAAACTGTGAATTTCATGGCCTCTGGTTTAAAACAGAACCAAATTCAGTTGGAAAGTTATTACATGATACTCAGGTGACCTATCAGGCCCTATCAGGCCCGTGGGCCTCTTGTTGTTTAAACAATTTAAATTATAGCATAGAATGTATCCAATAACCATTTTCGTTGATAAGATTATAACCTCTGTTTGTATAATTATTTCATTTATGCACAAAAAGGCTTCAGCACTTTTTATCCATAGTCGCATATAGCTGTAGAAGTTACCATTTGCATCACCTTTATAATGAAAGCATATTAAATGTCTAGAAATAGTAAATGAAATGCAAGACAGCAATTAAAAATAATGTCTGTTTGACCCAGCTCTCTTAACTCAGGGTAAAAATTGGGGTAGGTAAATAAATGGGGAAATCTTTTCTTCAGAAACTGATAAAGGGATGGAGACACTAATCCTCTAATACTATATCGCATAAATTCTACTTTTAAACAAATTCACTGTATCAACGAACATATAAGGTTAAAATCTAATGAACTAGTTCATTGTAGATAATATTTACATTTTGGTTTTAGCTGATCTTTAACAGATTGGGTTCTTTATAATGACAAATCATTCAAATTTTAGATCTGGACATGGATCCCCGCCACAGTGCCCAAGATGTCGCCCGATGTGACCTTTGTGAGGACACTATAGCACAAAACTATTGTGATTACTGTCATGTCAATCTGTGTATTCCGTGCGTAGGAAAACATATTTCTGATGGTTATGACAAACATAAAGTGGTCCCAATTCAAATAAGAAAATCAACCTTGATTTATTCCAAGTGCACAGCACACGAAACAAAGAGATGTAAATTTCAATGTACAAAGTGTAATATATCTGTGTGTTCTTTGTGTAATATATCAGATAAACATAAGGGGCATACCATTACAATTCTTTTAGATATATTTCTTTCAAAGAGAGAACTCATAGAGAAAGATACTGAAGAATTAGAAACTATAATTTCTCCAACCTATGAAGAAATTGCCACTGATTTGGAAGCTCAGTTAGCTAATATTGATGGAGAATATGGAAAACTTACAGAAGCAGTTACAGAACATGGAAAAGAATGGCACAAAGAAATTGATAACATTGTGAAAAAAATGAAAACAGAAATTGAAGAGATAAAAAATAAACATATGAGCATTCTGAAGAAACATTTAGATGAAATTAAACAGATACAGACTCTTATTAAACGAACACTGCTAAAACTAATCAGAATTGATGAATCTAATGAAGTGTCTATGACTATGGAATACAGTTCCAATATCAGAGAATTGAGCACACTTCCTTCCAAAATTAAGGTATCACTACCAACATTCAGTCCAAAGTCAAAAGATTCAGAACATCTTTATAAATTATTTGGATTTTTAACACCATTATGCACCACAACAGAAAAAAATGGTTATACATTGAAAAACTCAGAGCAATCAACTAGAGAACTGCTGGAAGAATCAGAACTTATCACCACGATAAATACTGGGTTTGATAACCTCCGTAGTGTCGCCAATCTCAGTGAAGTAGAAATCTGGACTAGTGGAATGGACAGTGATATAAAATGCTTTATCAATCAAGGCTCACTTTTTATGACAATCAAAACAAAATCAGGGGAATGGCCAGGTGATATAGCAGTGACAGGTGAGGAGGATTTAGTGTACTCTGACTGGAAGACAAAGAGTGTGAATAAAGTGAAAAATGGACAGACGGAGGAGGTGATCAGACTACAGGGCTGGGTACCTCTCAATCTCTGTGACACCTCCTCTAGTGATATCCTGGTTACTATGTACAGTGATGATAAAACACAATCTAAAGTTGTCCGTTACTCAGGCTCCACAGAGAAACAAACAATCCAGTTTGATGAGGAGGGTAAACCTCTGTATTCAGAAAATAGCAAAATAAAGTATATCAGTGAGAACAGAAACCAGGATATCTGTGTTGCTGACGTAGGTGCTTGTGCTGTGGTAGTGGTCAATCAAGCAGGAAAACTCAGATTTAGATACACTGGTCATCGTTCTACTACAAAGATTAATCTGTTTAAGCCCCGCGGTATAACAACAGACAGTCAGAGTCAGATCCTGGTAGCAGACTATCATAACCACAATATCCACATCCTAAACCAGGACGGACAGTTTCTTCGTTGTATAGATAACTGTGATCTGAAGGAGCCATTGGGATTATGTGTGGACAAAAAAGACAACTTGTTTGTAGCTGAGTGGTGTGGAAAGCTTAAGAAAATTAAATATCTTAAATAGATTTGTGTATTTAGAAATATAATGGGGACAAACATTTAAAGCTACTTATTTACTTCAAATATTTTTTTAAAGAAATAAAGTCTGCGTTTTCGTGAATGTTGCAGAATAACTTCCGAAGTCGAGAAATGTTGTTTGAAAGTAAAAAGTCGATGCATTAGTCGACGGAGGCTTTTATATTTCAGACAACATTTCAAGACCGAGGAGATTATCCTGCATCATTCACGACAACGAGCAGTACCTCTGGTGAGATTTAGCAAGACTATAGCTACAGAGAGATAAGATAAATTATTCACGAAAATGTGGCTTGGAAGTGACTAGCAAGTGGAGATATGGTAAAGAGAATAGTTATGTCACGTTTCAGTTTTCACCAACCTGTAGAAAAGAACTCAGACTTTGGGGTATGAACTTGATTATATAGTATTTCATTTAAAGTATATATTCACTCAAGTACTTGGCGGTTTCAGACCACAAGAAGGTTTTATATATTATATAATCAATTTATATATTATATAATCAATAATATATAATCAAAACGCCATATATTATGTAATCAATGTGTACATATCAATCATATTCATAATTCGGTTTCATTCTGTTAAGAATTAATTTTTTGATACAGATAATAAGTTGTTAATTAATAATTTTATGGATTTCTTGACCAATACGCCAGTTTCGAGATTGTAACTCTCCTGCGATAGAGGCGCAAAAAGTATCCATTTCAGCATGGAGATGGGACAGTTTGTTTATGTAATACATACAAACGTGCATAAATGAATGAACGATGTTTATGGCTTTTAAAATTTATTTAATGTTATTGAAAGATAAAAATGTTAAACATGCAGTGATGCATTTTATAATCAAGCTCAGCTGTGAATATTTACATATCTACTTTCAATTATAGGGTACTTGAAAACGTAATAAACGTTGCATGTGGTCTTTATAAAAACTAAAAGATTTTCTTGATTGTACGTCAAACATTCTCTCAAAAGTTAGTGGGTTTTTTGAAGTTATTATAAGGAAAAAAAAAACAACGTGTCATTTAGATTGCCGACATGTAATGATCAGTTTCATGTTTACCGTATTTATTAGAGGTCCATATATCTCTTCTCTCGTCTGAATAGTCTCACATCCACTGAATTTTCTTTTTGTTTCGAATTTTTACTTTAAAAAATGACACCTATACTTTAATTCGATTATTCTCAAGTTGAACAGTGCATCCTTACAATTATATAGTTACGATAAACCAGTAAATTGATGATGCGATATATCCAATGATAAATAACTGTCCCACCTGTTTGTTTACGCGGCAACCAAACTCCCCTCCTCAACGAAAAAGCGCACCAAGGGAGATAATCTCGAAACTTGCGTATTAATACATAATTAATTACAAGTATTTTCTATAATTAAAGTCAAATTAGTGACAAAGTGCAACATACCTCAGTGTTTTGTTGTTTATGAAAATGGAGAGTGAAGGCGGTTTCTCGAAATTCTGCGATAGTACAATCATTGTGAGTTTGGTTCACGACAGTACACGGAAATGTTAAAGAATGAGGTTCCACAGATTAGTTATTTTATCAAAATGAATTTGCATTGGCAATTGTATATAAATACATGTACTCTTTATGACATTATAAGGGCCCCATTATGCAAGCGCCCTATACTGAGCAGTCTGTCCTTCCATGAGCTCTTGTCCAGAGCATATCTCCTCTCAAAAATACTAGTAACCTCTCTGTTTAAAATCTTCGTTCGGTGCATAATCCCTTAAGTTCAGTAGGTCTTAAACTTTATCAATTGTGATTTTCCTTCCATTTTTGATAGAGGATATACAACAATTTTCAAAGAGAAAATGCCACATTCGTGATTTTTGTGCCTTTTTTTTATAGAGGTTACATTGGTAATTTTCGTGCCAATGTTCATTGCTGAAAGCGGGGCTCTTTTAGATGGCCACCATCTCAATGATATTTAGTTTTCTGTAGTCTTATGTAAAAAAAAATCTTTTTGGACAGACCTACTTGCACTGGAAGTGGGACTATATTCATTGGGGCAATATTAACAAATTAGGTATCTACATGGCTTTAGCTGCATGACAAATCGGCTAAACGAGAATGAGAATTGCATTGTGGGTGACTATGGAAACTACAAGAATTTTACGTTTGGAAAAAAAAACAAATCTACAGACGATCGGAAAGGCACAAAGAACATGCATTTCCTAGCTAAAATGCAATCTACTAGATTTTTATTCTGTTATTTTCATGTTTACTATTACAAGCAATTCATCTATTAAATAAATATGGAACTTTTGGTTTCTCAAAGCAATACTGTAAGGCGATTTACGTTTGTACTTCTTTTTTATATCATCGGTAAATACAATTGTCAAGTGGGTTCGAATTCCCTGACAAAAAAAGACATGTGACCACGGGCATTGTAATATAAAAAAACTTAAAGTTTGTTGTCCAACCCCTTAACGACCTAGTGAGCCTTTTGACACATATTCGGCATCACCTGTTGGGTTTTAATGCAATCTTTTGCGTTTAATCGCAATAATATTTTGCTAGGATTTTGTCACAGTTCTATTGAAATTATTTTGGAATATACCAATAACTTAATTTTGAAAAAAAATGCACATTCCATAAAAATCCTCTAATTTTCAATATGTCTACACATATGATTCATGAATCATGTCACCACATTTATACAATTTCAGTTAGATTTATTACTTTTGGACAGTGTGTGACATTTATGTTGACATTGTAAAAGACCTCTAAAACAAACATTTCTTTATAGAATCAATTCATTTTCATATCTAAATAAAGTTTTTATTTTGCACATTTTGTATTAAATGTTGTGTGGTGTCAAAGAAAAATGACTTCTTAAAATGAAGGTATTTGATTTAGTGTAGCATTTAAATGTGACGTTTTTGCCATCAAATTCAATTGTGACGTATAGCTACATGTAGTATATATATGTGACACGGCAAGTATTAAAATTCAAGACACAGCAAGTTAAAATTCTGTTTAGAGATCTTTACCTTAATAACATGGCAACATTTTGTAGAATTTAAAATAATTTTCAACTTCAAATTTTCATCAAACATTATAAAATTTGCCATTTTACGAATACTTTGTGACATTGAACCTCCAAACTTTGTGACACGCCATCTTATTCAATGTCCCCACAATAAATCGGCTTAATATCAGAAACCCAACATACATATTGACACAAAGCATCAGTCTGATTTAAAATATAGTTACTTGCACACAAAAAGGATCATTGACATGCAATTTCAAAATTGATTTTTCTCATGAAATTATTTTATTAAGTTACCGATGACATTTCATGTTCCTTCCATATTTCTTCTTATCTACATCTCTGTCTTGCATTTTGAAGAACGCGTTCAAAGTATTCGGATTGAGCAACATCACAATTTAAAAAATATTTTTGTTAAAATGTATTAAGTGACAATTACCGATTGAATAATATATAGTTTTTATAGAGTGAATTGTTTTAAAATTATGAAAATAGTACAAATGCCGCCGCAAAAGTAATTTTTGACATTTTGACACCCTACATTGCGGTCACAAAGTTTAAACCATGTGTAAAGGGGTTAAGGAAACGACTGATGAAATCTTAAATGAAATGTTAAGACTTACGTATTTGTACATGTACATATTATTATTATTACACCAGTACAAAATGTTTTTTTGGATATTGAGAAAAAATTGAATTGATTACAAATTGTGTAATAAACTGTGAATTTCTAATTTTAAGAATTTAGATCTAAGGGCAGATCACTCTAACTGCAAAAAAATACCATAGAATCAGAACTCTTTAGTGTGCAGTGTAGAGAGGGTTCTTAAAACAAAATTATTGCGTTTAAACGCAAAATTATTGCGTTTAAACGCAATCTTTTGCGAATAAACGCAAAGTGCTTTGCGTATAAACGTTTTGATTATTGAGATTAACCCCCTTCCCCGCAGTCACGCATTTTATCGCATATCCCACTTCCTATTTCTGACGCAAAATCACGCATTTACCGTTTTCCCGCAATCACGCATTTTCACGCACTTTAAAAAGTTCATTAAATCTTCAATTTATTGCCAAATTCCAACTATTTCATACTTGATTAATCTCATAAAATAAGAAAAATTATTTTCTAATTAAAATATTACGTCATGATATTATTTATGCTAAAATTTAGAGAAACTTGTACCCCGCTAGAAAGTGCTTGCGGTGAAATGGTAACGTAATATTTCTATGACGTGAGGATTCAGTTTATTTTGCATAACAATTTTGTAAGATGAAACGCAAATATTATTGTGATTAAACGCAATGAAAAATATTTCTTTTTTCTAAACTGGCCTCAACGGGCTTTCGTAGACAGCAACGGGCTTCCGTAACTTTTTATATCATATTATTATTATTATTTAAATACAAGCATATAAATCTTTTTCAAGTACTTAGTCTAGTATTTTAAATGTACTTAGACAGAAAATGAAAAACATAGGTTCATTAGGTGTTAAATTTCCTTGTCGATAAAGTATATTATATAATTGTGTTACCTGCATGCACAAACTGCATGAAAATGACACGATAATTTTTTCTTTTCCTTTATTTCAAATAAAATAAATGTACAGAACTACGAGAATGAAATGATGGAATACATTGTGGTGTTTATTTTCAAAAATCAGGACACTTTCGTTTGTTATCCAATTATTAAATCAAAAATATGATACATTTTGATTTTCAATGACAAGAGGTTTTGACTTCCACACAGACCAAATACCATCTTTACATGTTATAACTTATAAATGTTGCAAATCATACTACTATTGGCATGAATTTGGGTATTTATTTATTCACAAAAATAACAAAACAATAAAAAGTACATCTTCGCTAGCCAAGGGTTTCTGATACGCTACTCTCCTCATAAACCCTTGGCATACGGTGAAGTCAAAAGACGGGATTGTTTTCCGTCACGTGATCTCGAATCTATCAGGTAC